CGTGTCCCGAGCGCAGCGCAAAGGAAAAATAGCCTGTTTTGGGGAGGGATGCTTCATGCCTCCCTGAAGGCCTCAGTAGCATGGATTTATAGTCTTTCAAAGCTGCTTCCTCCCATAGAAGTGGTTGCATTTGAGTCAAGGAGAAAACAATGGTTCTTGTGAGGTTCACCAGCCTGGGGATTCATTTGGATATTATTCATCTTCATGTTGGCACGGCTCGGTTAAATGCTGAGGATACCAAACAAGTCCACTCCAAACTAGTTAGCAAGGGTTCAGAAAGCTAAATCCAGCCCTGCCAGAAGCAGGTGTGAGTAGGTCAAAAATGTCTACGGCTGAATTCTGTCTGGTTTCTCTTTATTAACACGCAATGAAGGAAAGGCCTGAATCACTAACAATCCTCTGAAGGTCCTGACCTAGGAAATGAAGTTCCTGACCTAGGAAACGAGGTCCTAACCTAGGAAATGAGAAGAACGTGCATTCGTTTAAGTACATGCCAAACTTGAAGCACAAGAACAGTACTGCCAATCCTGTATGCTAAAGCTTAGGCTCATATTCGTGCATATTATGCAGAATTTGGGCCTTATAGATTAATTTGTTTTTCTTTAGAAAAGATCATCCACCAGCTAGTATGTCAACAGTTCCCTCTTAATCAACCCACAGAGGCCACAGGGCTGATACAACCACTGCGCTTCTAGCTACAGAGGTCTGCCGTGGGGTGCGAGGAGAGAAGCATTCCCCTTTCCCTCCCCCCTGCTTTGAGGAGCAACGTCCAGGCTTCTCCGTGTCTAGGTCCAGTGCAAGGAGGTAAGCTTGTGGTGTGTGAGGAGCCACGTGAGCACTCCTCCCGCCCCTGTGCCAGGAGTTAAGTGCTGCAATCCATACACTTGTTAGTGAAATGGGGTGGCGCTCAATTCACAAGAGTTATGGAGGGTGCCAGGAGCCTGAAAAGGTTGAGAACCACTCATTTAACCCTATGCCAAGTCGTTGCAGTGGTTATAACAACAGCTACTCTGTAAATCACAGCGTCTTATTTGGTGGTTGCGTGTGTGCCTGGGCAATGATCTTTCCTTCTAATGAGTCATTTACCATTTCTATCCATCTCCTGTTACCTACACTGTACGATCTCATCCTAACAGGCTCTTAATCAGTTCCTCCCACGTGGCAGGTTTTGGAACTGGAGGTCTGTCAAGCAGCTACTTACAAAGGAGAAAGTTAGTGAAAAACAAGCACATTATCTCCTAGTAAATCACAGGCTAAAGGGATCTGTCAGTCTAAAATGCCCCAGATTCTTTGCCCATGACATCAGTGGAGACTCCTGCTTGAATTAAAGCTCCATTTTTCATTGCTAATTTTGGGTGCATTTAGTAGGCAAAGTTCATCCCTGCTATGTCTCCACTGTGGTCTGGTATGTTGCAACAGGGTTGAATTCGGTCCATTGTTCACCGGCTTTTGACAGAAGACTCCAAACACGCTGCGTGCAACTTATCTGAGCCCAATAGATTATAAGTCTTTCAGACAGAGCTTGGCTGGAGGAATCTGCTATCCATGCGGTAGCTAATTGTCGCTGTTTGGTGTCGATTGTAAGAAAAAGATAAATGTTTCAGAGAGGTACGAGGACAAGGATAGGACAGTCTGCTACCAGCAGCTGCTCGATTGATGTTAGCAGTAATGTACTGGAAAGGCCTGCTGCTACAGAGGTGCTGAGATAGATTTAATATATTTCTAGGGTCAGAAGGCACCTAATGGATCATTGAGTCTGACCCCCTGCTCTGGGCAAGAAAGAGGGCTGGGGTCAAGTAGCCTGGTGACACCAAAATCAGGCCTGTAGATTTTTTAAATGCATCTAGAGCATTGGCTCTAAAGGATACATATGCACATTGGCAAAGGTCCTTCAAATGTCCTTCAAGCTCCTGCCTCCCCCTTCCTGCCATTCTTCACTTTGTGATCTCTTTCCAAGCCTCCAACACAACCCAAGACTTCTCACTCACTCACTCCCTCACACACACATACACACTGCCTGATTAAAAGCAATGCTGCTTGGGAAAAGCCAGGGACCTGCATGAAACTACCACTTAATATTTCAGCTTTGGTATGGCCTTGCAAAGTAGCTTATCTCAAAGGGAAGATAAATTCTTTTTCAGTAGAGAGTGGGAGAAAGTATCGATTATTTTATTTCTCTTCTCTTCCTCTGCCAGACTGAAGCTGTGACATTATCAGTAGGTTCCTATCTTGTATTTAGCAATGAACAGAACTCTGCTCAGTAAATAATAAAATAAAATAAACAGGATTCCCAACCACAATACTTTAATTGGTGTGATTTAACCCAGGAAACTATGGCCAAAAGAGGAAAGATGACTTGAAACAAAAATAAAGGACTAGCAACCTTGCATCTCTTGAGCGTATGTTAACAACCCTTGCAGCAGCAGGCACTGACCACCGTTACCCCTCCGGCTTTACCTGTGGCAGGTACTCTGCCTTGTAGCTGTGTGACAGGAGTGACTGTAAAGTTTTAATAATACATTAGGCAAGGGCTTGTATGGGACAGTTTGGGTAGGGATGATCCTGCCTCTGATGGGAGGTTAGACTCCGATCCCTTCCAGCCTTACTTTTCTATGATTCCTGTAAAGAAAATAGGCCTGTTGAGAAGAGAACTAAATATATTAAAATGAACTAAAATATATTAAAATGAAGGTATTGTAAAGATCTCTTTTCTGCCCATTTCTGATTGTAATAAATGTTTCTGTATCTGTATTATAATTATGCAGCTGGCTTAAAGTCTGGCAGGCTTATATATTGCCATTGCTACTATTCTGATGGAATTGCAAATCCTTTTGTGATTTCCATCCAATGAAACTGGAAAGGAAATCCCAGTGGCACAAGATGCCACCTTCCAGTCTGAGTCCTACAGTGTCTCCAACATTGGCATGCACAGTCATTTCTGTGGTGGGTATAAGGATATATCTGCTTGCAGTTCAATCCTCCAGGTAGAAACCTGGTCTCCATACACCTCTTGTTTCAACTTAGGCTGTTCCTGTGGTTTCATCACTTTAGGTATATCATATGAGGATCCTTTGGAGGGTCCCTGAAGGAGTGGCAATTTAGAGTCCCATTCTTTAGTGTCCTATAACTAAGCCCCTACTTAATGGCCCCCTCAAATCACCTGCAGTGAGCGTCTATTCCAATAATAGATCATGACTGCCTTGATGAGCACTTGCACCCTTGCAAGCAAGAGTGCAGCACAGGTAGAATATTATGAATCTACTTAAGGCACTTTTATGGCTGCTTTTACAATATTAGCTAAACACAGTGACATTTTTAATGCATTTCTCTTCACCACTGCCTCTAATAAAGTATCCAGCACACACTTGAGATGGGGAACCAAGCCAGAGGGAGCCACTAAGGCCCAGGTGCTCAAATGTATTTAGTTGCCCACAGGGTTCGAATTACACTTTGACTCTTGTTGGGGGAGGAGGAGTCCTGGAAAAAAAATTGGGCCGTCCATCACAATGACCTAATACAATCAGAGACCCCCCAGGTTATGATTTTCAAATCTTACAGGGGGGCTCTCATCTCTTATGAGAGGGTTCAGCCCCCCTGAGCTCCCGTATAGTTTGCACCCTGGTTGCCCAAGTGGTTTGTGGAAAATTACATAGAAGTCCTGAATCAGAGCAAGGAACTGAACCTGCACCTCTAGAGTCCCATGCTAGTGTTGATCCTTCTTTCTTCCCTAGGCACACCCTTCCTCATACATACTCTCCTACTTACCTGCCCCTTTGCTGTATGTGCCTACAAGGTATAAGCCAGGAATGCATCAGCTCCGTTCTCCATATGATGCCCATGCTATTCACCTTACTCTATCAGCCTTTGAGATTATGAAGGATTCCTTTCCCACCCTTGCCAACCACCAGCTAGAGAAAAACTAAAAAGTTCAAGTTGCTTGAGTCACTTTTTCCAAAACCGGTGGTAGAATAAACGAATTAGCTCTTGTCCTGAGATTCCATGGCTTCCAATTAACACCATTGTTAATGGGAAGTTTTTTATAGACTATAAATGCTTGAAAAAAAAATGCTTTGACTGGGTCACCAAAATACTGGAAAAATATGGTTGGTAGCCTTTAAAATACAACAGATGTTAAATACAGTGCTAGGATGGCATTATACCCAACTGTCTCAGTAGCATAAAATCCCTAAGTATATCCTTACTGATCTGGGGTATTCAATATGTTAGTGTTTGAACTTTTCTTTGCACGACAGAGCTAGCAAAAGCGCACATTCCTACTGTGAAACTGTACTTCCTCCTCCTCTCTCAGCCTATTCTCAGGGTGCCTGCAGCCCCAAGAGTAATGCACCCACTCAAGGGCTATCCATTACATGGCCACAATATTCGGGATCTGTTTCTTGGAAAACTTCCATTTTGCACATCTGGCACATGGAAAGAGGAATGAGTGATCCTATAATCATGTCTGGTCTTACATAGATGTGCAAGGGGATCTGGAGGGACAAGCAGCCTACAGCCCCTCTCTGACACCATCCCTTTGTGCTAAGGAGAAACAGCAGAGGTAAGATGCACTGACACTGCACCAACCCTTCATAACCGGTGCATGGGGAAGCAAGATGACCCCAATTCTGTTTGCAGCAGCCACAGGAAGTCCCACTGCACTCTGCAAATAGCTGGTGGGTTCCAGTTTTTAGAGCTCCTGTCCTAGGGCGCTATTCTAGAATGATACATTGTTGACCCCAAATTACTAAACTAGATATCCCCTAGTGCACACCTCCACTAAAACCTCCAAAAGCATCCACTGCATTAACTCCACATTCTCCTATCTCTGTATAAACCTACCTACAGAGAGTAAATCCCTTGCAAAGATGCCTCAAGGGTGCGAAGCCACAGATCAGACCAGTACCCCTTTAAGAAATGCTTTCAGCTCAGTGTGAGCTACGATATTAATTTTAGCTTGGAGGCTTGCCATGGGCAAATTTCACAGAGGGTCTTAATGGAGCTCTGCAAGGCAGCTGTTCCCTGGTATCCAGGGTGGGGTTTGCCTAGTGCAGAAGATCACAACGCTTGGGATACTGAAAGCACAAACTTTCTCCCAAGCTAATTGTTCCAGGGTAAGAGTTTGGGGATTGTTTTATTCGCTTGTGCCACTCCAACGCTAGAACAACGATGGCAGAAGAGCAATCTGGACTCGAGGAGAGGATAATAATAAAAGACCAGCACACAAAGGAAATCGACCTGGTGAACCGAGACCCAAAGCACATTAATGAAGACGTTGTGAAGGTACATTTTCTGGGTTCTTCTGACATTTCTGTATTTTTAATGCAATCAGGACTTTTGGTTTTGTATCAGCCTCCAATTCTATCAAGTCTTTAAATAGCTACCTGCATAGGGGAACTACACAGTGTGTCACAGGAAGAATTATCGAGGGCGTAGCGAGGTAACGTGCTGTAGGGAGCAAATCTTGTATTTCCAGGAAAATGCATGCACCAGTTGGGAAAGCTGCATGATTTCCCCCCTGACTCTGATTAACGCAGTGCCTTTTTGAACATGCAGCTTCATGATCTGCAGCCCACTAATTTACCAATAGTTCTGCATCAGCCTCTGCAGTCAGGAAGCAAATGGTAAAATAGATCAAGCTCAAGTCACTCTAAATGAAAATGAACCTTTAAAAAGCGCTAAAATCCATCACTTCAAATGCCTAGGCACCTTGTCTCTACTCAGCAGCACAGAGGTCTATAGCACAGCCGAACAAATTCATAACATCTCAGCGTCATTTGAAATAGGATTGTTTCTCCCACACAAAAACATGAGAGGGTGAAACAAGACTGCCCTAGTCAGAGCCCAAAGAAGGGATGAATTCATCCTCAGGAGAGTGTTTGCAGGCCAAACCTATACTGGGATGATTATGGTCGTCATTCAGTTTACAGAAGATAAGTTTGGTCCAAGGGGAACAAAAGTGACTTGAATCCCATTAAGCTATTTAGTCTTAAAATAAGCATAAGTGAAATGAAAGTAGTAAGTGTGGATTGGGCCTCCTCTTAAAGGCAGTAAATAAGACCTTGAAATACTTCTGTTTGGATCTGCTGGAATGCAAACTTTATTTCCTATGTTTAAAAAGCAGCTGAAACTAAGGCCAGCACTTGAAGTGAGAGCTCCTTAATTAGCCAGCACAGACCAAAGCTAGCATATGCTTACTGGCCATTTTATGAGCAGGGCAAAATGTGCTCCACACAAGTGAGCAGTGGTGCTAGATCCTGAATATGTTTCCTCACTGAAAGGAGCCTTCTGTATCTCTCCTCTGAACTTCACCATTTTCTACTGCCTTTAAATGTTTGTCCAGACACTGCCGTCCACTCTAAATTATGCCAAATGTAACTTGGAGCCATGTAAGTGAGCGAGGAGCAGGTCCGTTCCATCAGGTCAATTGAGATGAGATACCAAGAAATCCCAGCATCTTCTGCTGCCGTGTTGGGCTCAGAGGGGGCTCCTACTTATTTAGATCCAGTAAGTGGAGTATCACTCATGAGGTTAAACAGGCAGACACAAATTAACCAAACCTACAGAAAGTTGGTGAGCTACTGAGAAGCCCAAAGGCACAGAGGGTAATAGAAAAGAAAAGTGGGAGCTAAAATGATTGATACCCATCATCCAACCATCTGGGATGTACAGCTAGAGGGAAACCAGGTAACTAAAGGCAGTGATTGTAAACTGGAGCGTCATGTTGAGATGAGTTGAATGTCTCAGCACCGAGTAAGTCTGAACTACAGAACTGTTCCTTGTATTGCATGGCGTGCAAAAGGAGAGGCTGAGAAAGACACTAGAGGAAGTGATCAAAGTAGTTCAGGTTTGCAAACTTTGGAGTGCAAAGTGGAGCTCTAAATACTGTATCTACTCATCCCTTCGTTAAGTAGTTACCAGACATCGCCATGGTACCCTGCTAAAATGGCCTAGGGGCTCATGTATAAAGATACCCAAGTTTTCCCACCTACCCACCTGTTCTTTCTCTGAAGTGCAAACTCCAAGCATGTCACTTCCAACCTGGACATATTTTATTGAAAAAAAAAAACCCACTTCAAATAGTCTCTAGCTTTTTTTCTTTTTTGCCCTATCTTCCTGACGTGTACAGTTTTGAAGGCCAAGACACATGTCTGATTCACAAGAGAAAAATCAGTTGCTCCTCACGGTGGTTTCTCACTCTCTGCTGAGGTCCTTAGATGCATTTGATCTGGTCCTGCTCATATTCTTCCCCCGCGGCACGGACTAGCTGCTCCTTCTGCCAAGTTCTACCGTGTCACTGCTTCAGTAACAGAAAACCAAAGACTTATGTTCTCCCATGTACTGGCTTGAAGACCTTTGCTCAGGGTTTGTATTAACTACTGTCACCAACTACTGTCTAAGGGAATAAACACAGGCCAGAGGGCTAGATCTCCATAGCCAAATACAAAAAACAGAGACTAAAGGAGCAGGATTATTTCAGATGAAATAATAAGACCATGCCAAGTGTCAAAGAATCCCCTTGACATATTCAGGAGAAGGAGGCTTTTAGGGTGATGTGAGCTTACAAAGAGCCTTGTATTAAGGCCAAAATGTCTGCACTTCTGCAGATCCAACATAATCCCTTCTATCCCGAGGTTCCACATTCAGCACCAGAAACCATGCGGTACTTCATGCTGCTTAGCACTAATACTAGAATAATACAATTATTTAAATCCTACAGATCTGGGGAGTGAGGGAAAGCAGCAGTTCCTGTCTGCTCCTTCTTGTCCCCAAGCAATTTGACCTTTGACAAGAGGGAGGAAAGAGGGAGGAAAAGCCTGGGGGAGGGTGGGGTTTTGGACTGAGAAGCCCTATGAAGTTACTCCACCAGGTTGCATCCAAGTTGCTATCCCATGGGATGCAAAGGAAATGCCAGGTTGGAGTAAACCATACCTTTTTTCCAAGCCAGAGGAGACGTGTTAGAGTTGCTGGGTGTGACTTGTGGAAGATTAAGGAAGACAGTGAGGAGTTTGCCTGATTCCTGTGAAGGCCAATCAACCTTAGCTATGTAATGAGAGACAGCTGCCATTGTAGTCTGCACTCTTCCAAGAAATACCATCAACTATTATGGCACCTCTGGGTCATCAGCCAGTAAACATATGCCTCTAGCAAAGTCCCATGCATGCTTGCTCATTAGCACCCCTGCACCACAACAGAGCAGGGGGTTAAGGACAGCCTACTGGATCAGGACCTGGAGAGACAATGTATGAAAAGAGGATTACATATTAATAAGTTAATAAGACTTCACATGTGCCTCAAGGGATGCAGATGGCAGATGGCCTTGAAGCCACAGCCATGCTGAAGTACCTGCAGTACCATCTGTCTCCAGTGAAGTCAACAGGAAATTTCTCATTGGCTTCAGTGGATCCAGGATGTCACATCTTGATTTCAGTGGTACTAATCATGTCCTTAAAATTAAGCGTGCCCTTAAACATCCTGCTAAATTGTAGCTACAGCCAGGCATAAACCACTCTGTTATGAAGCCAAATTAAATGTACTGTTTCTCTGTAGTAAAGGAGCTGTGGATATGACTGATCCATGAAGTAACATACATTTGAACCTGAATTGATCACCTGTGAATATCCATTCCCCCCCCCACCCCAAGTTGCAGTGATAATTACAACATAAGAAGATATTATTTCCCAGCCCATACCATACTCTCAAAAGGCTGTGAAAGTTAGGTCCCACAGGCTCATAAGGCCAAGAAGCGTCTAGGCACTACTGTTGGATCTGGGCTTTTAAACATGCTCTTTGGGTGCAGAGCCTCTGCTCTTCACTTACCATACAAAGAGTTCGGACCTTGCAATTCAATAGCCTGTTGGGTGGTACTGGCTACCCAGGAACTTAAGCATATCCTTTCCCAGAGCTTCACCCCTGGGTGGCTTATAGTTTGCCTCTCCAAGAGACGTGCCATACTTGCAGCATGCAGCAATGTTTCAAAGCCACACAGAAAGCACAGCAGATACAAACCCAGACGAAACAATCAAACTCTTCCACATCAGAGCTCAGGTTCCTGACCAATTTGGATCAGTCTGTGGGCTGAGATCAGCATCCTCTGAAGTATCTAAAAAGCTTCCTCTCCTCCTCTTGCACAACCTTTCTTCCTGTTCCATTTTTCTCTCAGCTAACTAGTGAGAGACAGCCTGCAATCCATTTATCAGGTGATCCCCCTTGATTCACCTCATCAAGAAATACAAATCATCCACCAGGCGATGCGTTTCCCTCTGTACCAGTCCACTCACGCAGACAAAGTCTTCTTGGTCTCAGCCAAATCTTTATCCAGGGTCGCCTCCATGTCATCATTAGACCAACCACCAATTAATGGCCTTCATTTTCAGCTTTCCTCTGTAGGAAAATGTCCCCTAGGTACCTCCAACCAGTTCCAGCAAAATACGGGGTCTACAGAACAGTTTTACAATCAAAATGATCTCTAAACCAAAATATATGTCTATAGGCATGATCTAGACATAGAGACATACCCTAAGCCTGCACAATTTTCTAATACCTCAGCTCCTGTTCTCTTTAGCATGTGGAATACCCTACAGAAAAAATTATTAGTATGTGGCTGAACCTCAGGAACCCCTGGGACCTCTGTAATAAAAAGAAATCAAGCATCCAGCTGCCACAGCGCAGCAGTGATATCTGTATCAGGCTATGTCGATCCATTGGGCTGGAGGCAAATCTCAAAATGGTTCGACTAGGACTATATAAATAAACATATATATATAAATAAAATATATTATATATAAATAAAAATATATTAGGGTGATTGCTGGGTGTTATTAGCTGGTGCCACCTTGGAGCAGAGCATATTGCCAGTGCCCTTAAATGCTGAAAAGCATAAGAACGGGGTTGTAATCTTCCAGGAGTAATACAGCTTCCCAGCACGTTGCCTGTTCTGAGAAGCCCAGGCTGGCACCAGCACCTGCCAACTTCTTGGTTCAAGTCAGTTCTTGGAGGATATGGGTCTGAACATTAAAATCCCACCTTTCCAAGAAATTTCTCTCTCCCTCTGTTGTTCTGGCACATAGGCTGATCCAGGACAATTCTTAATCCTTAAAGGTTGATTCTGTGTGCAAAGGATACGCATCCCCAGCAGAGGACCCTTTGCTTTGCAATTTGACTGGCAAGCTTTGCTGAATATCGGTTTAACTCTAATTTAGCCATTAGTAAATCCCAAATGGATCTTCTGGTGATAACGGAGAGCTTCACCTGTCTCCTGGTCCATCTGTTTCTAATGTTTGCACAGTGGTGGTACCAGAATACCAGTAGCAATATCTTGCCCCACAGAACACTTCAGCACTATGGCTAAGACTCCCCCAAGCTGTTACAGTCCCTTTGTTGATCAGGGTACATAAAAAAAAAAAATCCATAAATTGACTGCAAACAAGCCCTCTGTCCTAGCATGGGCAACCTCTCCACTCTTCTGGCCTCCAGCCACACTAGGCAAAGAAGAGTTGGGGTGCAAAGTGGATGTAGTAGACTGGGGGTTCACTCCATCAAAATCATCCACTGTCAGGAAGTTCATCAAGGGCCTAGTACCACTGCTCCTAAGTGAGCTTGACCTGGATTCAAGACCATAATGCATTCCCTGGTGATCATCTCCACTCCTCTGATCTTCTGCTTTTATTTGTGATGCTTACAGGCAACCTTTAATCAGGCTGGCTCTATGCACCATCAGAATCAGAAGTAGCAGACCAACATGGTTGCTCTCCTGGTATTTCTTACCCTAAGAGAAGCAGGAGATAGAGGAAATCTCACCAGGAAGTGTATATGCGTCCCATTTTTTATTCTAGTCAGAAGCATATCCTATTCTACTACACATATGTTACATCATACTTTGATAATGGTATAGCCACAACTTCCTGATTTTCACTACACCGAGCAAACCAGCATGGCGGTCCCTGTCAATACATTGATATTAAATTCAGTGCAACAAAAAAGTGCCCCAAGAGCAGTGAAAATACTTCAGACAGCAATACTTTCTTTGATTATAATGTCGGCGTCTTGAGACCCAAATAACTCTAATGAACACATCTTTTTTAGGCAAGGTATTAGCAGCAGAAACATCATTCCCCAGTTTCACATACAGGGAATAACTTTTCATACTAGGGATAACTCTATCCAGTGATAAAAATACATACCCAACCTGTCAACAGTATTGAATCATGATTTAGGAGTAGATCTTGTATCAGCTGCACCTAAGCCAGCTGCTGAGAAGTAAGCGGATGAGGAGGGGAGGGCAGTGGAAGGCACGGACACCTTGCCCTTTCACACGCAGCTTGGATTTGGCCTGCTATTTCAAAAGGGTCACAGTCTGCAATACCTAATTCCACTCACTGTAATTCATGTTTCTTCCAGTTCTTTACAATAACGACTACTGTTCTGCTCTCCATCTTACCGTTCATTACCAGCCCCATCATCAGGGCCACCTGTCTAAGCTCTTCCCTATCTTGTCTGCATTGCAGGTGGATTTTGAAGATGTGATAGCTGAGCCAGTAGGGACATACAGCTTTGATGGAGTCTGGAAAACCAGCTACACCACCTTCACCGTCAGCAAGTACTGGTGCTACCGGCTGCTTTCTGCCATCTTGGGAATCCCTCTCGCAGTCATCTGGGGCTTCCTCTTTGCATTAATCTCCTTCTGCCACATCTGGGCAGTGGTGCCCTGCATCAAAAGTTACGTGATAGAAATCCAGTGCATCAGCAGGATTTACTCCCTCTGCATCCACACCTTCTGTGACCCATTGTTTGAGGCTCTAGCGAAGATCTGCGGTGGCATAAGAGTTGCTCTCCGCAAGGAAGTCTAAATCATTTGTTTGAGAAAAGGAACAGAAACAATCGTTACTCAACAGCTCAACACATTGCTAATTTTCCAAAGATTGCACCATATTCTGCTCTCAGTTACACTGGGATCAAGATGGAGTAGCTCCAGTGGGTTGCATTTGTAATGCAGTTACTCCAAGTTCACGCTAGTGTGAATGAGAACAGGATTTCCTCTGAAATTATGTCTTGGACCAGAACCTATGATTATTATATGCATTTATTCAGTGAAAAAGAATGGTGTGAGGTTGTTCAAAGTATATGTGGGTACAATGCAAGAAAATGTCTGCTTAATTGTCTTCTAGATCAAGTGTAAAACTAGGAAACACCCCTGGGTTATATTTATCATAAATGCAAGCAGTGTCTGTTGTAGAAGATTTATGTACTACTTGACAATATGCAGTAAATATGTACAGATTGAAGAACAAACTTTGCTTCCATGTATGCTTCCATCTAAACAAAGCTTTTACATCTGGATTAGTGGTTCATTTTTAAATGCTTAGCAAGGCTTTTGGGTGTGCAGTTGAAGTCTATGTTATACGAGGGTTGCAAGTGCTATCGTCTGATGATTGCAAAATTAATTTCAAACTACCTGATCATGCATACAAAAAAGGCAGCTAAGTATCCATTCATTAATGTGTGTGGCCAAAATTCAACTGGAAGCACAAAAAATGTAAGTACTTGCCCCC